CGAGACGTCCTCCAGTTATTCAGGAAGCGCGCTCTCGCTTGGGACTTCTTTACATATTATTCAGGAATCGCTCTCCTGGCGCTCTGGAGTCGCGCTCTCGCTGGAGACTTGCTTGCAACTTGCTGAAGAATGGCCTTGCGTTGGAATTTCTTGCAATTTGCCCAAGCGCCGCGCTCCCGACACCCAGGCACCCAGGAGTCGCGCCCGTTGTGGCCCCATGTGCATGCCCTTCGTGGCCCCGCTGTCGCCATTTGTGTCCCCCTCACTGTCCTACGTGGCCCAGTTGCTACCCTCAGTGGCCCCATAGTTGCCTTCTGTGGCCCCGCATTATCTGCACTTCGTGGCCCCCGCTCGTTCGCGCTCTTCGTGGCCCCATACGCATTCCCTTCGTGTCCCCGCTGTCGCCCTTCGTGGCCTACTTCGTGCCCTTCGTGGCCCTGCTGTCGTTCTCTCTCGCTCTCGCTTTCGCTCGTCGTCGCCGTCGTCGTCGTCGTCGTCGCCGTCGTCTTCGACGTCGTCGTCGTCGTCGTCGTCGTCGTCGTCGTCGTCGTCGTGGTCGGTCCCCTGTCCGTCCCTCTTGGGGTCGGGTCGACGGTCCGCGGCCGCCCCGCCGATCAGCGCTGCCGCCTGCCAGGCCGACGGTCCGCGGCCGCCCCGCCGCTTGCCGGGGCCCGGCCTGCAGGGAAGAAAGGTGTACCCCCCAAAAGGGGTTCGATCGAAGACGAAGAGGGCGGGTATCGAGGTTTAGGGAAATACGTGTTATTGGGCACTCGAACATATAAGGGCGAACGGTCTTAGAATTAGTGTTGTTGAACATTATTAATTCTAAAGAATAATTATTGTTGGGGCCCCTGGTGCACGGCCCCCCTGCGCCGCCTAGGCCGCAGCTACATTTTCATCATTTTCGTGAGGAAGCCTCAGGTAATTCGATGTGATCAAGATCCGGTTGTTTTGTTCCCCCCCGCTTTCCCTTGCAAAAAACACTATAAAATGACATTTCTTGTTCTAATATAATCAATTTTCAAGAATCCCTTGCAAAAAATAAGGTAAAGTGGACATTCGCGCGCGCAAGACGAAATCCTTCCAAAAGCTTAGTGTTCGGAGCGATTTTAACATAAAAACCTCAAAAAACCAATGGTTTTTCAACAAAAAAATGTCAAAATCTCATCCCGCGCGCTCTTGCGGATTCGTAGGAAACCCAACACTTTTTAACATTTCTGTCAAACGGGCTTTTGCGAGCAACTTTTTCGAACTTCTGCGACAACGGTTGCGCACCTGCCAGGGCCATCATCCCTGTCAAATAATACCATGCGGGACACATTCGTTTTTTCACGTACCATGTGTATCATGTACCATATGCATCATATGCAACAGATGTTCTGTGGAAGGCTTAACAACTTCTGTGGGTTAACAAGGCTTAACAACTTCTGTGGGTGTACGAACGTAGGCTTAACAACTTCTGTGGTGTGTACTCCACGCCAGTGTAGTAGCCACGGTCGTCCGCAGGCCACGAAGTGAAGTGTCCGAACGTCATAGGGCGGGAAGCTGGGTGTGGGTGGTGGCGAAGAGTCGTGTGGATATTTGGTAGAGCTTGCACTGCCCCCCCACAAAGTGGGGGTATTGGCTGGCGTCGCATGAAAACCCTGGCACTGGTGAGAACACTGAGCGTTCGGGTAAAGTGATTGTTGTTGTTGTTGTTGTTGTTGTGGTTGTCGTTGTCGTTGTCGTTGTGGTTGTGGTCGTGGTTGTGGTTGTGGTTGTGGTTGTGGTTGTGGTTGTGGTTGTTGTTGTTGTTGTTGTTGTTGTTGTTGTTGTTGTTGTTGTTGTTGAACTCTCAGTTCTGAAGAATAATTATTGTTGATCCCCCCGCCAGTGCATGATGTTTTTTCTCAATCAAAGTGTGCTCCTCGACGCTCGCACCCTGTTTTGTTGACGGAAATTCTTGATGCTCAAACTGGCCCCCTGGCCCCCCCGGGTTGCAACAACAACGGCTCCCGCTTGAGATTTCCCCACACTTTAGCCAGGACCCCCGCTCCCGCCCGAGACGTCCTCACATTTTATTCAGGAATCGCGGTCTCGCTTGGGACTTCTTTACAAATTATTCAGGAATCGCTCTCCCAGCGCTCTGGAGTCGCGCTCTCGCCGGGGATTTGCTTGCAATTTACTTACGAATAGTGCCCTTGCGTTGAAATTTCTTGCAATTTACTCAAACGCCGCGCTCCCGACACCCAGGCACCCATGAGTCGCGCTCACGCTTAGGACTCCCCCACAGATTACCTAGGAATCGGGATCTCGCTGCCCGTCGTGGCCCCGTTGCAGCCCTTCGTGGCCCCCTCGCTTTCTGTCGTGGCCCCGCTGCAGCCCTTCGTGGCCCCCTCGCTTTGTCTCGTGGCCCCGCTGCAGCCCTTCGTGGCCTCCTCGCTGCCCTTCGTGGTCCCGTTGCAGCCCTTCGTGGCCCCCTCGCTTTGTTTCGTGGCCCCTTTGCAGCCCTTCTTGGTCCCCTCGCTGCCCCTCGTGGCCCCGTTGCAGCTCTTCGTGGCCCCGCTGCAGCCCTTCGTGGCCCCCTTGCTCCCCTTCGTGGCCCCGTTGCAGCCCTTCGTGGCCCCCTCGCTGCCCTTCGTGGCCCCATATATGTATGCCCTTCGTGGCCCCCGCTCGTTCGCCCCCGTGTTGGCCCCACATGCATGCCCTTCGTGGCCCCGCTGTCGCCCTTCGTGGCCCCCTCGCTGCCCTTCGTGGCCCCGTTGCTGCCCTCGGTGGCCCCGTCCTTGCCCTCCGCGGCCCAACATACGTATGCCCTTCGTGGCCCCCGCTCGTTCGCGCCCGTTGTGGCCCCATGTGCATGCCCTTCGTGGCCCCGCTGTCGCCATGTGTGGCTCCCTCAGTGTCCTACGTGGCCCAGTTGCTACCTTCAGTGGTTCCAACGTTGCCTTCTGTGGCTCCGCATTATCCGCCCTTCGTGGCCCCCGCTCGTTCGCGCTCTTCGTGGCCCCATACGCATTCCCTTCGTGTCCCCGCTGTCGCCCTTCGTGGCCTACTTCGTGTCCTTCGTGGCCCTACTGTCGTTCTCTCTCGCTCTCGCTTTCTCTCGTCGTCGTCGTCGTCATCATCGTCGTCGTCACCATCGTCGCCGACGTCATCATCGTCGTCGTCATCGTCGTCGTCGTTGTTGTCGTCGTCGGTCCCCTGTCCGTCCCTCTTGGGGTCGGGTCGACGGTCCGCGGCCGTCCCGCCGATCAGCGCTGCCGCTGGCCAGGCCGACGGTCCGCGGCCGCCCCGCCGCTTGCCGGGGCCCGGCCTGCAGGGAAGAAAGGTGTACCCCCCAAAAGGGGTTCGTTCGAAGACGAAGAGGGCGGGTATCGAGGTTTTGGGAAATACGCGTTAGTGGACACTCGAGCAGATAAGGGCGAACAGTCTTTAAATAATTGTTGTTGTTGATGATGGTGTTGTTGTGTGTTTGTTCTTGTTTAGTTTATACCAGAATGCGACATACCCCCCGAACAAACGAGATGACAACCCAAAACAAAAACAAGTGACAGAACCGGTAAGCATAAACACGGCAGTTTAAAACATTTGGAAAGCGAATCGCAAAGCGAACCGAAAACGGCGAGGCAGCAGTCCCAAATCTGAGGGAAGGCCCCCCAAAACAGAACAGACGAATTTGAAAACGGACAACAAAGGGCCCCCAGCGTTCTCAAAAACATCTCAGCCCAGGCGGCCTCTAAAGTCGGGGCCGCCAGCAAGAAGAACTAGTCGGGGACGCCGACATGGGGGGGGGGCTTCAGATGCGGGCAATCTCTTTATCCACATCCAGTGCGTCTTGGAGTTTCGGACTCTCTTCCCAATGACATGAGGCGCACTGGATATGGATTATAATCTGCCTCCAAAAGGCTCAACTTTTATCCATGTCCAGTGCGCCTCGGCCTTGTGGCGCCCCGTCCAAGAAAGTTCAAGACGCACTGGATATGGATATAAAGATTGCCCGCATCAGAGGTCGCGTAGAGGCACCGATGCCGCCGCTCGCCCTGGGGAGCCCTCGTGGCCACTGCCGGGCCGGCTTCGAGATTTTCTGGTCGGAACGCGCCCTGGGAGAGGTCCGGGGAGCAGCGGCATCGGTACTGTTTCGTCCCCCCAGCCGTCCTTCCCGGGACCACTTTTTTCGTCCAGGATCCTGCCCCTCCTCCCTCCTCCAGGAGGGAGGAGGAGGAGGAGGAGGAGGAGGAGGAGGAGGAGGAGGAGGAGGAGGAGGAGGAGGAGGAGGAGCAGTAAGCCGAGGAGGAGGGGGGCGAGGAGGGGAGAGGGAGGAGGAGAAGGAGGAGGCCCGAGAGGAGGAGGCCGAGGAGGAGGAGGAGGAAGAGGAGGGGGAAGGGGGGGAAAGCATCGAAGATTTCCCCATCGGAGCGCATCGCCGATCCGTCGGCGATTCCATGGTACTGTTCCTGCACGCCCCTTCCGGCTCCCCCCGCGAAGTGGCGGACTCCAAGACACGATCGCGTCGTAAAAAAATAGTCAGGACGGCTGTTTCTTCTGTTGTTGCTATGTTTGACCCCTGGGGGCCCTCGCCGGTCCCCGGGCGCGTCAAAAAGCGATTCAGGATGAAAAACCGGCCCCGGGAACTTCCGGGGACGCCGTCTTCAACAAATCAGGGTGCCGCATGTCTGGGCTGAAGGAGAGCGAGAGCGAGTCCGTTGCCGGAAGCTCGGAGAAGGCGCAGCGGAAGCGCGGCGGAAGGTCAGCAGAGGTTTGGAGGAAATTCGGCGGAAGCTCGGCGAAAGTTCGGCGGAAGGCGAGACAAGTAAAGTGAAACGTCGGTCCAAACGCTTGACTCCAGATTTTCCTGGGTCGGCAAAGTGGTGCCGGAGTAGACACAGTGCAGCTCGATCTGAAGCCCGCTGTTCGTTGTCCCGACGTCGTGGATGCAACGCCGAAGTATCGACGATGCGGCGCGATCCACCAGCCCAACCCTGTCTACTCTTGCCACTACTATGTGGCCCCCAGAGGACCTGGGCAAGCTGCGGAAGCTCCAGGCGACTGCGGACAAGGTTCTCTGCGGGGAGCTCGGGTGACGAGGATGAGGAGGGGGTCGGCGAGGACTATTGGCCTTGTCTGTTTCCCAGTGGTTCCTGGAGGCCTGTTGGCACTTTGAGTCGGACGCACCTCTTAGGAGGGCTGCCGCGCTTCTCGAGCTCCTCCCCCGTGGCGGGAGCGGGGCGAAAGCCCCGGTGCCCAGCGCGAGGCACTGCCGCTGGCGGCATCTCGGGCAGGCCCAGCGCCCCCTCCTGTCGCCCTCGGGGGTGGCGGGAGGAGGAAGCGACGAGGGGGAGGAGGGAAAGGAGGAGGAGGAGGAGAAGGAGGAGGAGGAGGAGGAGGAGAAGGAGGAAGGGGAGGAGGAGGAGGAGGAGAGGAGGAGGAGGGAGGAGGAGGAAGGAGGAAGAGGAAGAGGAGGAGGAGGGGGAGGAGGGGGAGGAGGAGGAAGGCGAGGAGGAAGAGACGTAGGAGGAAGGAGGAGGAGGAGGAGGAGGAGGAGGGCGGAGGAGGGCGAGGACGAGGACAGGAGGAGGAACGAGAGGGATGAAGAGGAAGGAGGAGTGAGAGGAGGAGGAGGAGGAGACGAGGAGGAGGAGGAGGAGGAGGAGAAGGAGGAGGAAGAGGAGTGAGCTCTTGCAGGGCGCCCGTGGCTCTTTCAGGCCGCCTTCCCCGAAGGCTCAGAGGCCCTCTAGCCCTCTTCGCTCGTCCTTCTCTCGCCTCTGGAGCCCCGCCCGCCTTCCGAGCAGGCCTG